ATGCTGCACAGCCCATTTGAAACTGTCTGACTGTCTCCGGTGGGCTGCATCCCCCTCCCTCCCTCCCAGCTCCTCTGCCGCCGTAATTGAAGTCACGTCACTAGAGCCAGATCGCTGATGTGGCACCAGCTTTTCTCGAAGATGCTGGAGCGGCAATGCTGTGGCCCTGCGCTGCTAGGGCCAGGCCCCCTCTGCGGCCCGCCCGGGACCCTTACATGAGTATCGGCCGTACCCCCCCTGATGGCAGCCTTGGCGGTCTAATGACCACTTATGTCATCACAGCGAATGCAGGTTCCATAGACCTGATGAAGGAGGCACGCCCCCTTCATCAGGTATCTGATGAAGGGGGCGTGACCCTGGAAACGCGTTATCACAGCCTACCCTGCTGGTACACAGGCTCGGCTGTGCAGCTGTCACTGGCTTTCACTTTGGTCCATGTAGTCATACACACTGCTTCATTCATGTCGACCTTTGAGTATGATTCACATCTAATATTGTTTTTATTTGAAATAAATTTGTCTGCACCAGGAAAGGCGCCCTTGTTTGTGTTTTCCCCCCAGATTTTGCAGTCCCCCTGGCTGGTTTGGGGCAGCGTCCTGCAGAGCTCACACCACATCACTCTTTTTCAATCAGTCCTTGCACATTTTTGCAAAAATTTGTTTTTTTTAACCCTGGTGGAGCAGTCCCATTTGGCGATTATGTGCCTTTGGCAATGACTCGCTTGTGAGGTGCATTTGTAACTCAAGTGTATGTGTAAATTACATTTCATTGTGTGTAATACTCTTGTGGTCATAATACAGGTCTTTTATATCCAAGGCTAAGTTCACATGGGGCGGTCTGGCATTCTCTAGCAAGAATCACAGGTGTCCCCATTCAGATGCGATTGCTTTACACCTTCAAGTAAATGACGGGGTGACCTGATGTAAATCCTACACGGTAGTATTACCAGTGGTTTAGATGCATGGGGACGCAGGATAGATGCATCCAGCAACAATCCTCTATTCCAGACCGGATATGTAAATATGCCATATACATGCGAACTGCTGCTTGCAGGTGCAGCTGCTGTCAGCCTGTCATGTACAGAAGTCACATCTGAATGGGGGACACCCGAGATTCCTGCAGCATTAATCCCAGAACACCCCGTGACACGAGTGTTGATTCCTACTGCAGGAACAAATGGTATTGTTGATTTTATTTTATCTTTTTAAGGGTCAAATTCATCCATCTCCAATATTGCTATCTTGGCAGGTTAACTTTAACATTACCTACTGATTGTAGTTCCTTGGCTGCAGTTCTCCTTCAGCTTTCATGGAATCACATTAACAAACAACATCAAAAAGATGCTTGCTATAGATAAAGACATTTGTTTTTTTTCTCGGAATAGAACTCCCCACCTTTACAAAGGCCGGTTCTTCCCAGGTAACAGAGTCTGCATGAAGCACTTTAAGAGTTAAGGCTGTCCAGGAACTGCCATAAAATAGTACTAGGAAGGTAATTTAAAAACTCTTTTTCCTTTTCTGTCAGTTTTTAAACTGTTCCCTTTTTTTTTTCTCCTCAGGTTGCAGTGCTCTTGTTAGGGGGAGGGGTTAATTGAGCTCAGGTGTCTCTCATTGAGCAGGTGTATTATAAACTAGTGCATCACTCATTTTGAGCTTGCTCACAACAGGGCTTGGAGAACAAAGTGCCTGGAAGCTAAGTGGCGTTAAAAAATTGGCGTTTAAACAATTGAAGTTTACCCAGGCCAGTTGTACCTTCTTCCAGGGCGGCGGTATAAATTAAATTTAGTTTCACAAACAAGTTATTGAACGTACCACTTGTGAACCATAATTTAACCCAGGAAGGATGATCAATAATGATTATCAACAAGGCCTTGACTCACCAGTCTTTGTAAGGACATGATACGTATGCCTTTTAAGCTTAATGGTTTTGCTTGTAGTACAGGCCAAGATGTCACCCAGAGAGGGCAACGGCATGCTAGGCCTGAGCAAGCCTTCCAGGGAAGGTTCCTCTACGGCAGACAGACGCCAGGCTGCTTCAGAAAAAACTGCCAACTGCTAAAAGCTCTGCAGGCGCAGCAGCTTTAAGGACAAGCCCAATATATAATTAATGGTGCTTGCATACCTTACAAATCTGCGTGGTCATTGGGTGATTGCTAGACTGCACGCTATAAAGGGAAGATTAAAGTGGACCTGTCCTTACCAAAGTCTAAATCAGCATTAGCAGGTCAGTGTATTATTGTGCCTATGCATACCTCTGCTTTGAGCACATTATTTTCCATTATACTCCAGTAGTTCTAAAGCCACAGAGCAATGCAACTCATCAAATTGGCACTTTGATGCACCCACATTGTGTAATGAAATAATGTGACCTACAGAGGTATACGGACATGTTGGTACCCTTACAACTCATTGAAACAATGCTCCTCCAGAAAAGTGATTAAATTAAAAGCAATTGTTTCCTGTATACCTGCCAGCCTTTGGTATGTCATGAGAGCAAAGCAAAGAAAGTGAAAAGAGATTATCTCTGCAGAATAAGGAATTTGTCTAAAAAGGGCTTGGACAGATTTCATTTAAATTTCAAACTTTTTCTATGATTTGCATCACACATCTTCGAGATTAGCGTTGCAAATTCTGAAGGTCGATGGGAGTGTAGCCAACCTCCCTGGACATGGCTGCAAGAATTGAACAGAAGGATAATGTGAATGGTAAACAAAGAGTCAAGAAAACATCCAAGCAGATGCAAGTTGAACGCAAGGTCAAGGTACATCCCTAACATTTTGAGTAACAGTGGGCTCAAATGAAGGTTCCACTGTTGAAAGTAAAACAGCACCCCAAAGGAAGGTCTGGGTTTTTATGGGACAAACCTGAAGTGTTTTAGCAAGTCTTTTCTATGTAAGCTTTATTTTCTTAACCTATAAAACATAGATGTGAACACTGTACCTACTGTGAAATATGGAGAAGGGTTGGTTATGATTTGTGTCTGGCATAGCGTGTCGAATCTGTGCAGGGCACAATTAAATCGCATGACTATCAAGGAATTATAGAGTGAAACATATATTGCCCAGTGTCAGCAAGCTCTCTTATCAGTCACAGGTCATAGGCCCTCTAACAGGATAATAACCCAAAAGATGCAGCTAAAAGCACCCAAGAACTAAACAAAGGATTCAGATCAGGGCTTATAAAAGGCCACCCCCAAAAAAGTCCAATGGAACATCTATGGAAAGAGCTGAAACATGCAGCCTGGAGAAGACACCTTTCAGACCTGAGACAACTAGATTGGATGCTGAAGAAGAGTGGACCAAACTACCTGTTGGCAAAGTGCAGAAGTCTCATTGAGTATTACTGAAATCACTTGGTTTGCAGTGATTGCCTCTAAAGGCTGTGCATTAAAATATTAGGTTAAGGGGGTCCCATCATTTTTAATTTAACAGAATATTTTGCTTGATTCCAAAATCAGACTTTGTTTATAAAAACATTGATGGATGCCAGTTTCAAGTTATTAGTTGGTACCATTCAATTTTCTCTGAAAAAACACAGAATATGTACAGATGTGGACAAATATCAGATACCATATCAGCTGATCTAAAACTCAAGTCAAAATATTTTGTCAAGTTTTGTGGATATGAAAGGGTTAGAACTAGGGATGCACAGAGATTTTGGTCATTTAAATATAATGGCTGAAAATGGTACCATCTTTTGGGCCGAAATTCCAGTGCAACTCTAGTTCTTTCCTCCCAGCTGTGCGCTGCTCTATGTCTGCTGTGACACAGAATATTGTCCAATGGGGAGGAGACATTGTAAGAAGACCGAGCAAGGTAGGGAGGAAAGTGCCATCATCGGCAGTGTCACAGGAGGCTGAGCTGGGCGTGTGTGGGAGGAGAGCTCAGCCTCCTGTGACACTAATGACAACGCTCTCCTCCCTGCCTTGCCTCCTAAAAGTTTCTCTCCTCCCCGCTGCTGTGTCAGCCCTCCACCTGCACTGCCCACGCTCCACTCGGCCTCCTGTGACAGATCAGCATAGAGAGCGGTGTGTGGTAGGAGACAGCTGTCAAAGTAGACAAAGCTCTTCTTCCGCACCGCTGGCTCAGGCTCCTGTGACAGCGAGTCAGGGTGAGGAGTTACGAGCAGTCAGCGATCTGCTGATCGCTGACTGTTAAACATCATTTCCTGTTCATTCATAACTTGTGGAGATTGTAAATATAGTAATTTTACTATTATGTCCCCAATCTGCACAAGTTATGAATGAACAGGAACACTCAGTATAGAGGATTCCTGTTCATTCACAACAGGGGCTGCAGAAAAAGAGATTGAGGACTCTGTGTTCTCAATCTCTTTTTCTATTTCAAATGGGAAATATCGGGGGTCTGTTTAGACCCCTGATAAATAAAACAGTAAAGTAAAAAACATCTTTATAAACTTAAAAAACATTTTTTAAAACAATTTCCCAGAGTCCCTAACAAAATAAATGTGAAAGTTAAAAAATGTTTTGTTTGGTTTCGGCCTGAATTTTTCTTCGTTTCAGTCAGAAAATGTCATTTTGGTGCGCTCTAGTTATAACCTCTGTCAGGTCTTTTATTGCTTGTCTGTGTGCCTACTCAGCACTTTTTGTCCTTACAGGGAGGGGAAATCTGTAGTCTGTGTGCCTACTCTGTGGGATTTCCTATCAGAGATGCATACAAAACCACATTTTATTCTTACGGGGAGTGAGGGGAAATCTGCAAACACCTTTTTTTAATTGTTCTAGTGATTTACACTTATTTCTCAGCCAGCTGTCACAGGTACAGGAAGCAAAGGAAAATCTCTCCAATGAGATCACTGGTAGAAATAAAACCTGACAGAAATTGAAGCTATTCCCAGATCTAAAAATAACTGGTAGTCTACAAGGAGACTTTAATAGTGAATGCTTTAACCCCGAAAATAATGCTTTATTTTAGGGGTGAAGTGCTAGGGAGTGCTGTAGGGGAATATTCCCACTTTAGCGGTGCATCAATGGACACATAAGTCTTTCTTCAACATGTGTTCTATTAAGGCAGCCCATTCATTTTGGATGAGTTGCCAACACACCACAACAGACAGGACCTGCTTTATTTTTACAATGTAGCAAAACCCCAACACAATTACATGACCAGTGTGGTATGATGCAGTGAGGGTGCATTGCCTGTTACTCTATTGGTATGTTGGGGTGCTATTTTAAAACAAATAAGCGCTGTGGGTATGTACATTGATGTACCATACAACAATACCATACATATGTGTATGCATGTTACTGCTGGTTATGTGTATGATTTGGTCTTAATGTTAATGACGTAGTAAAAATCACAAACTGCCAACAACCGACCTTCCCAACAAGACCTTTTGAAATATTTTTCCCTTGAAGTTTTTCATCTTATCCTTCACAGCATGACACACTCTTTAACCCCTTCGTGACTGACGACGTACAGTGTACGTCGCCAGCATCGGGGCTGTTTAAACAGACTCCCGGTGACTTTTGCCGCCGGGACTCTGTTTAAACTTGTAGAGCCGACTGTCGGCTTTACAACAGAAGCGATCCTGGCGACTTACCTGTCGCCAGATCGCTTCTGTGTCCCGAAGAAGGGGCCGCCCCCCCCGCCGGACACCCCCGCCGTGCTTCCCGGGCTCCGTTGCCCCTCCAACCACCATTTTATTCTATAGGGTCTTGGCATTCAGAAAATATATAATGTTGGGGGGTTTGAAGTAATTTTCAGGCCTAAAATGTGGAATATAACATGGGTACAAAAAATGAAAAAAAGGCCTCAGTCATGAAGGGGTTAAAGATTGGAACAGTGACAAGTGTTGACCAGCAAACGATGAAAATGATTTTGTATGCCAACAGTACTTTTATCTCGGACTTTGTTATAAATAAGATTCCTTACATGGACTCACCCCACTCCATTCACAATTCCCAACTGTGGAAGAATGACCATACTCCGCACGAGGCCGAAGCGGTAACATGTGATCTACACAAACCTAATTAACCCCTTCATGACTGAGCTAGTTTTCAGTTTCTGTTTATAAATGACTGACACACTTTTTACATTTTTGCTGTGCGATTCTTCCACAGCAGTAATATACTTTCTTACTAAAAAAAAGTAAACAAATACTGTTTTTTTTTTAAATCAGTTTATATCAAGCAGTCACTGACTGCTTACATTTTTTATTTTTTTGGCTATTATTAGGCTGCTCCAAATGTAGGAACAACTAATAATAACCTTAGAGACTGATCCTGACAGCATCAGCCCAGACGATCAGAAGTCTGATACATTTCACCAAAGAGATACATTGTATCTCTTTGGTGAAATGTATCATAAACATCGGGCTATCCAGCTGTCAAAACGAATAGCAGAGAGGTGACTCACTCTGCTACCTCTCTGCTATTTTCAGCTGTCAAATACAGGATCGCTATTTAGTGAAAGAAAAAAGCTTTTACAAAAGCTTAACTATTCATTAATGAATGCCTCAATACTGAGGCATTCATTAATGACTGGTAACTGCTGAGAATCAGCAGTTACCGGCATTACAAAACCGGATATAACTCGTCACGTACAGTGTACATGGCCAGTCATATAGGCACTTCGTGACGGGACGTACAGTGTACGTCTCCTGTCACGAAGGGGTTAAAGAGGAGCTTAGACTAAGGCATTGTTGCTCTAGCTAATTATCTCCACATACAGATGAAGACACTTTTTTTTTTGCTGGTGCTCTTTCCATGAACCCTACTGGGGTTGTTGGAGCTGTTAGGGGGAGGAGGCTCACTTTGAAAAAAGAAAAAAAAATCCTGCAGGATTCACTAACAAGACAATTAAAAATGATAAAATGACTTTAATTTAGTTCATTGATAATTACTTTTAGACCCCATTCAGATGAAGGAATAAGTGCAGATAGGCTGCCGGGTTCTGTGAGTTTAAGTGGTTACACATGAACAGTGGTAGCACCATGCATGGGGATAGTTTACACGCTGGCAGAAATAGCTGATTGGGGCCTTATCCACCTTAGGTCAGACGTGATAAAGATGGCCAGAAAAAGCCACTACAAGAATTAGGGCCTGTGTAGATGGACTTTTGTTTGTGTCAGCATTGCTTCTCTCCTCATAGAATTCAATTAGAAAGGAGGAGGTGAAGTGCAGCTGTCAAATTCTCAATGATCTCAGAAGAGTCTCAAAGTGATGTCAAATGCAGACTGAATGTACCTGATAGCACCATTTGCTCAGTGACACAAGCCCAAAGCCCATAGATGTTTCTGCTTTCCTTCAAGGTGCTAATGAACAGAAATTTTGCTGGAAATCTTCCAGTGTGCACTTGTTTAGCACTTTTTTTACTCTCTGTAGAAGAGGAAGACTGTCAGCATCCCTTGAGTACTCTTACAGGCCCCAGGGCAGCAACAGGTCAGGAGAGGGAAATATCTCTCTGTCTGTTGTTCCTTGCGAATTGTGACTTGTCTATGGCCAATCTAAAGCCACAATGAAAGGGTACATTCATTTTCAGCAAGATAAAATCCATGGAGAACAAAACGACCACACAAACGTTATCTGGGAAAAATATATATATATATATATAGAGTGGATAGCAGTGGATACATGTGTATGAATGACTTGGCACTCAAGCATATGAGGTTAGTTCAGACACGCTGATTTTCTCTGTAGTAGAAATCACATGACTTGGAGCTTTACACATATAGTCCGCACTGAAAGGAGCTGAGAGCCACATTTTCTCAAAGAAAGGTAAGAAATTTAGCCCTTCTATTACTCGTTATCCATGCCCACCCATCATTTCACATAATTTTTACCATAAAACTGAGTCTAGGTTTTTAAAAATGTTTCACAAAGAATGTCTCTCCTCAACCACCACACAGAGAATGTCTCTCCTCAACCACCACACAGAGAATGTCTCTCCTCAACCACCACACAGAGAATGTCTCTCCTCAACCACCACACAGAGAATGTCTCTCCTCAACCACCACACAGAGAATGACTCTCCTCAACCACCACACAGAGAATGACTCTCCTCAACCACCACACAGAGAATGTCTCTCCTCAACCACCACACAGAGAATGTCTCTCCTCAACCACCACACAGAGACTGTCTCTCCTCAACCACCACACAGAGAATGACTCTCCTCAACCACCACACAGAGAATGTCTCTCCTCAACCACCACACACAGAATGTCTCTCCTCAACCACCACACAGAGAATGTCTCTCCTCAACCACCACACAGAGAATGACTCTCCTCAACCACCACACAGAGAATGTCTCTCCTCAACCACCACACAGAGAATGACTCTCCTCAACCACCACACACAGAATGACTCTCCTCTAGAGCTGCAACAGTTATTCGACTAAGTCGATTAAAATCGACGATGGAAAACGTTTTCCATCGTCGATTCGTCGGCTAAAATTCAAATTTCCCGCACGCCGCTTACGCCCGCTGCTTACGCCACGCCCACGTTGTTTAAGCCGCTCGCGCCTACGCCGGTATACCCACACACACAGAATGACTCTCCTCAACCACCACACACAGAATGTCTCTCATCAACCACCACACAGTTTGAGGAAAGAACATGTCTAATGTGCACTGGCAGATAGGGGCTTATAGACATATTCTATACATGTTATTTAACATATCTGTCCTGGAATTCCACTTTATAATCAGTTGTTTAAATTTGCTTACACACATAGTTACATAGTTAGACAGGTTGAAAAAAGACACAAGTCCATCGAGTTCAACCAATAGAGATACGGAGAAGAAAAAAAAAAAAAAGAAGAAAAGCCTAAACAGAACGCTATGCCCACAGCTACCCCCTGTTGATCCAGAGGACATATCAATGTTTACTATACATGGATCTCACTTCAAGTTGAATCTGGATTGCCTCTCTAAATTATACTAAAGCCTCAAACATACTAAAATGCTTCTATAGGTCTGGCATTGAACACACAGCACAAGCAGTGCACAAAGTGGCGGTGAACAGATGTTTCATGCAGCATTAAAGATGGACCATGTGGGAAATGCCCCCAAAAAAATGCAAACACATTTATACAGCCTTATGCACC